AAAAATTATAAACTAATAAAATTATAAATAAAATTAATAATTTTAATGAAATTTTACGTAACAATAACCTCAACTCTTCCTTTTCTTCTCTCTCCAGAAAATTTCAAGTTTAAGTACCATTTCAACCCCTAAAGTTCGTTATTTGGTAATAAAAAAGTCCCTTAAGACTGAGTTGATGGATATTTCTCGAAAGGACAATGCTAAACGTATGGGTGAGTGGGCATATTGCTGCCAATTCCATGGCCACCGGTGTACCGACGGTACGGCAGTTCTTCCACTCGGCAGTTGGGAGAATGAAATGGTAAAATGGGATTTTAGGATTAGACCCAAGAGAAGAGTGTAAATAATGATATTAATTTTATATTTTTATTTAAATATTAATTAAATAATTAAAAAATTATTTATTGTATCAATTTTATTATTTAATTAATTAAAATTAATTTATAAATAAATATTTTTAAATATTATAATTAATTATTTAAAAAAATTATAAACTAATAAAATTATAAATAAAATTAATAATTTTAACAAAATTATACTAACAATAACCTCCTCAACCCCCTTTTTCATGTTTCTCTCTCTTCAGAAAATTTTAGGTTTAAGTACTACTTCGGCCCCTAAACTTTGTTATTTGGTAGTAAAAACTCCCCTAAAGAGTGGGTTGATAGATATTACTGGGAAGGACAATGCCAAACGTATGGGCGGAATGAAATGGTAAAATGTGATTTTACGATTAGACCCAGTGGTACGAGAGGTGTAAATTAGGCCCGGTACTACAATTACAGCATGGGCCATTATTACCGTTCATTACCGCTAGGCCAATTGCTTTTTTATTATTTTAGTTCAATTGCTTTTTTATTATTTTGGCCCAATTCCTTTAATTAAACTCTATAATAAAAATTCAATGGACCTCCAAGCTCCAACCTCAGCCCTGTCTTTTTTATAATAGCCCAATTGCTTTATCTACCGCTGGCCTAACTCCTTTTTTTTTGTTTCCTATATATTTATTTTGCCCAATATTATCCCTATTATATTTAATTCATTTTCTTCCCTAGATGAGTGAAAGAAAGAGAAAGAAACATGAGACAGAAAAAAAAAAAAAAAACCCTTAAATGTTGATGTTGGTTCTTTAACTTTAGAATTTTACATTGTTTTTATTCTTTTATTTTTATAAATTTATTAAATTACCATTAATAAAATTAATTTTTTATATTATTTCATTGAAAGTGTTTTAATAAATTCATTAGACAAACCATAACAATTAAATTCAATAATAATTCAAAAAAATAAAAATTTAATGCAAGAGAATAAGGAATTGTACCTGTAAGATTAGGGAAAGGGAGAGAGAGTGAACAGTGAAAACCAAATTTGGCTCAAGCAAATGAGAAGTAGCACCAGATCTGAGCAGATGAGTTGAGGCAGATAAGGAGGATG